TCAATTTGGCATATCTATTCACCATCTGCAGCATATACAATCCATCTAGAAAAGTCAAATCTAGTAATTTAATTTCTTTTTTCGTTACATTTTATGAGTGTTTTAGTTTGTGATTTCTATAGTTAATCAATGGTACTTTACCTTGTTATGCTTATTTGCTAAAGTTTATGCTTCAAGAAAATAAATCTCCTCACTATTACAATGCAATTGCCTTTTATCTTTTTTATTTGTTATGCTCTATTGTTCTTTAATTAAGAACTTCACCTTCATTCTTTCATTTTGAAATCATCTTTATAAATTCACCTTAGACAAAAAGTATGATAACAACGATTCAAATAGAAGGAATTGTCATAACTTTACATTCATAGAAATGCAATACAATAAAAATTGGTTTTTTATGGCTGCAAATATTTGATAATTTCTTTCATTTGAGTCTTTGTTATAACTATATAAATTGGATCAGTATGTTAACACGTTACACATTCGTAGCATTTCTTTAAGTGCAAAATAAAATTTAAGCTTTTGATCGTATTAGGTGAGATGTGATCATATACATATTTATACCTTAATAACATTAAGATTAATCTCATTATACATCATATCAACCTAACTAAATACTTCATCGATATCTAATCATTTTGCATTGAACACTTTGAGCTTATATTTATTCCCTTTAAATTTTTGCTTCACTCATCATACACATTTCTTTAATGTTGCTTATATCATCTCAAAAGTTTGTTATATTAGGTATTTTTCATGTTTAGAAATGGGTCCAAAATCTTAGGCTTAAGTGTAGCATTTGAATTAAAATCTCCTTTGTTGGGCTCCTTTTTATCTCCCTTAGGTAGTCCTTTTGTCAACCCATTATGCATATAATAACAACTTGGTGTGGAAGACTTATTTACACTCTTTAGGCTGAAGCCCACAAACTATCTTAAAATTTAAATATTATTGAAATACGAGAATTTAAAATATGAAAATATTGAGAGAAATAGTAAAGAATAAGGGCACACTCAAACACTAGAACCCTATTTTATTGAGTGACTTCAGTGGTGAGGGTTCTAATACTTAGTATTTGTATTCACCTCCATGAGATTAAGTTCAGTCCCCAACATATATAACAACACTTCACTATAAAAGCCAAGGTTTTTCGGAACCAATTTTCATGTTATGTTATAATATATGTTCTATATAACAGCACTTCGCTATAACATCCAAAAATATTCGGAACAAACAAGGCTGTTATAGAAAGGTTTGACTGTATAAAGAGTTTTATAAGTAAGAAAAATTCACATCGAAGTCACTGCAATTTTATCTATGAATATCTAATGTATATGTTGGGTGATGCATCAATGTGTTTTCTTGATTTGTTCAAACTGCTCCTAGTACATAGAAATGTCGTGCCTTATGAAGGGCATTTAGGTTGGCCGATTTGCATCTATACCCAGTTTTTGGGTCAGATTTTAATCTATATCGGCTTTGCAAAAAAAAATTGCAAGCGTACGCACTTTTCGGGTAACTTCAGGCATACGAGCCTGAAGTAGCAAAAATTTATGTTTGAAGTTTGAACTTCATAATTTTTTAACTGAAGTGTAGCCTTATCAAAGCAAAACTTCAGATATTTTTGCCTGAAGTTTGGCCTGGCTTGCAAAGGCAATCACGTAAATTTCAGTTCATAGTGCAAGGGAAAACTTCAGTTTCCCTTCACTTCATAGTGTAAACTGTGCAAGGGAAAACTTCAGTTTCCCTTCACTTCATAGTGTAAACTGTGCAAGGGAAAACTTCAGTTTCCCTTCACTTCATAGTGTAAACTTCAGACAAATTATTCTGAAATTCTTTAATTTATAATGCAAACTTCAGGAACTTCAGTTCATAGTGCAAGGGCAAACTTCAGTTTTCCATCACTTCATAGTACAAACTTTAGACAAATTAGTCTGAAGTTTTTCAATTTGTAGTGCAAACTTCAGGAATTTCAGTTCATGGTGCAAGAGCAAACTTCAGTTTTCCCTCACTTCATAGTGCAAACTTCAGACAAATTAGTTTGAAATTCTTCAATTTGTAGTGCAAACTTCAGGAACTTTAGTTCATAGTGTAAGGGCAAACTTCAGTTTCCCCTCACTTCATAGTGCAAATTTCAGACAAATAGTTTGAAGTTCTTCAATTTGTCGTGCAAACTTCAGGACAAATTAACTTCTTAGTGTAACTAAGAGCTGGTTTGGCATCACACCGGACTTTACCTCATGGGGAATTCTCCATATTCTTCATACTGGATTTGAAACTTCTGTATATTCAGTATGAGATAAACACATAACAAGATGAAATAGAGAGTATCTGTTGCGCTCTCGATGCATTTGGATTTGTATCTCGAACTTGCAAAATAAAGGATTGTAGAATTTGCATAAGCCCATATCTTACCTTTTGTTGACAGGATTTCTGAATTCAAATAGAGAACAATAACAATACTCTATTTTATTATTTTATGACAATATTTGATCAAATGTAGGTTAAGTTGTTAATTTGACTTCACATTTTATTAGTGAATATATCAAAGTAGTGGTTGAAAAGTTAATTTGATAGACAAGGAAAGGAGGAATAAGAGGAGGCGTGTGAAGTTGTTAAAATTAGGGTATAGGTTAAATAATTTTTAAAATATGGGTATATGTTAAATGGGGGCGACCAAATAGGGCGCCCCGTGCAATTTTTACCGAATTATGGGTCTTTTCCAATTTTTTTTTTTAGGATTTTTATTTTTGATAATTTAAACCTGATATAGTTATCATTTATAAAATAATATAAAGACACAAATAGTATAGAAATATACATTAAAAGCTTAAGAAAATTAAAAAGGATTAAAAAAATTATAGAAAATAAAATATCTAGCATTAACTTTACAAGTATAAATATCACAACAATGCTAATGCTATTATGAGATACAAATCAATTATAATGTCTTAACTTTCAAACAATTAAAAAATTACAATTTTTTAAAAGAAATATCAAACTATGATTTTGCCTTCTTAAAGATATATATTCAATAATTTTATCAGTATTATAATTTAAAATGTTACTCTTTCATGAATAAATATAAAATTATTATTTCAAAATATGATAATTTTGAAAGACATATAACTAAAATATGAAGATCAATATGAACTCAAGAAATATAATTTCGGCTATCTACTTTCATAAGAATTTTTTAAATTTATTTTACTCTTATGATGTTCTCAATTACTCTTTTCATTTTTTATTTATGTGTCTTAGTTTGATTGGGCAGGAAGTTTAAAAAAAATAAAGACTTTTAAATCTTGTGGTCTTAACTAAAGATGTGTGTAACGTATCAAGAAAACCTTAGATCTTGTGGTCATAAATATGTCATGTGGAATGTTGGAGTTGCAGAGTTAATAAATACCGAAAGAAACATTCTTTTTTGAAACAAATTAAAAAGGAAAGTATGACAGATAAATTGAGATGGAGGGAGTATTCATTACTTTGAGTTACTGTAATCTCATATTTTCTATAGATAAATAGAACTTTAAAAAAAATTGTGGGTCGACAGTAGCATTAGGCATATTTAGGGTGAAAATAGTATGAGCTAACCAATTTTCGGATTGGTAATTAAAAAATAGCTAGCATTTACAAGTCATTGCAATTAGCCACTATTTTATGCGAAGATAAAATCTGGATAAAAATTACCCTAGCTGGAACACGAAAAGTTTCAGCATAATATGCTGGATTATGGAGCTCATGCGTATAACTTCCAACATATTATGTTAGAACTCCAGCATATTATGTTGGAACTCCGGCACATTATGAAATTTTAGCACATTATGCTGGAATCTCATATGAAAAATATTCGAAGTCCATAATATTATGCTGAATTTTTTTCGAATTTTTAAGGGTATTTTTGTTCAGCTTTTATCTTTACATGAAAAGTGGCAAAATTTCGATTACTTTTGAAACTGCGGTTGTTTTTCAATTACCAGTTGTAAATCAAGCTATTTCTGAATCGGACGGTTAAAGCGTTATACTCACAAAATTAAGGGGCATTTTCATATATATACCCATTTTTGGGGCACCATTGAAGTTATATATGCGTTGCACAAAAATTTGCAAAGTGTACTCGCTCGTATTCGAAATAGTTCATTCTCTTCGATGCAACTTAAGAAATCAAATCTGAAGTTCATCTTTCAAATGCAACTTTAGAAATTCGAATATGAAGTAGTTCAATCTTTTAAATGCATCTTCATAAATCAAATATGAAGTTCTTCTATCTTTCAAATGCAACTTCAAAAATTCGATTAAGTAGTTCAATCTATTAAATGCAACTTCAAATTTGAATCTTAAGTTCTAAAACATAAACTTGTTCTTCGAATTTCAACAATCCAATACACGATTCAATGCCCAAATCTACTCCAAATGAGCTCAAATTTGAAACATAACTTTCTATGATCATGAAGAAAAAACCTCAATTATTAAATTATCAAAACAATAAATTTAACAAATTTATTTTGCAATAAGAAGAAAAAAAAATCCTAAATATAAGGAAGAAGAAAAAAAATGCATGTATATGAAGTTACCCAAAAATTGGGAATCAGTTATTTTTAGAAACAAAATATGTACATATTAAATGGGTGACACAAAAGTGGGTGCCACATCAAATTTTTACCTAAATTAAGCCCCAAACATAACCCTTTGCTCATAAGTCACCCCCCCCCCCCCCAAATTTCTCCAAATTTTTAAATATTTTTTCGTGATATAATCTCTTGGCCATATGAACGACTTCTGTTTATTTAGAGTGTTAAATAATCTTGATATTTGACAAAGAATCTCGTAATTGAAATGTAAATTCTCTATATCTATAGCTCTTCTTTTTTTAACGTTACATGAATATTTTTAGTACTTTTCTTTCACTTTCCTTAGGTTCAGGAATTGCTTCAATAAGTTTATATGTTAAGGTTTTTTAATTTAGTTTTAACATTATTTGTCGATTTCANGGGTCACTTTTACACAATCTGTTAACCTTTGTTATTCATTCAATTGGTCGATAAGAAAAATGGGAGTAATATGGACAATTCTGGAGTTACTACTGATCTCAGCTATCTTTCTTGCATTTGGATTAGCTGCTGCGATTGCATTTGAATCACTCAGAAGAAGATTCAATCACACGTATGTTTATGTTTATAATAACCCCCTTTTAACCAAAATATCAAAATCCTTTTTTTGCTTTTAAGTTATTGTTGTATTGAATTCAATTTTGATTTCACTTTGCAGTCACGTCGAAGCTCCTCCCGTCTTTGAAGATCCAAATTCATTGAAACCGGTACTTACAAACCCACCTCCAAAACCTTTTTTTTTCTTCCAGAAAAATAAAAAAGAGTATATCTTTATTCAATTGTTTGAATTATTTTAAAAAATAAAGAAAAAAAGATTGTATCTTTAGTTTGGTTATTACCACTGGAATGAAATAGGCCCGAATGGAGCGTAATTGTTGCAGTAGGTTCATATAGCAGAGGCGGATCCAAGATTTGAAGTTTGTGGTTTTGCGATGTCTCCGAATGTACTAATCATTTGAGTTAATGGGGTCGGAATTTAGTATTTGTACTTATTTAGTTGAGGTCCGAGCCAAAGCTATTGAATTCGGCTGAACGTGTAGTGGTAGCTCTAATGGTCCCTTTCGTATAGTCAATGAGAACTAGTTTGAAATTGAGGCATAGTTGATAGATTTATTGACTAGGTGTAATCTTCACCTAATAAAAAAAAAGATTTATTGACTAGGTGTAATCTTCACCTAATAAAAAAAAAGATTTATTGACTAGGTGTATTAAGTGGATGCTGTTACAGTGTTACTAATTTGAATTGAGTCAGTTGGTATACAGTTGGAAAGAAGGACAAAAAACAAAGTGTGATTTTCCCCAAAATGCTGATAGCCTATTTTATTTTATTTTTTGGTGTAAAAGATAACTTCATTAATTAAAAGTTGCGTACAGTGGGTTGGTGCTCATGCACCATAGTACATATTGTGACATTAGTTACATTATCAGATAGACACGAGGTTTCGTCCCTAAATCTAACTTGTTGACGATCCTCGTTACCGTTAGCAGCTGTTGATCTAGCTAGTGGCAAAACGGATGTTTCATCAGCATCTGTAGCTACTTGATTAATAACAAAACATTGTTGGCTATTGTGATAGACTGCTTCCCGTGTATCTGGGAAGGGTACAAAACGTTGAGTTGGGATTCCAAGTTGGTCTGCCTGCAGCTGACTTGACACAAAAAGGGGTGGTTCAACAAAAACTTGCAGCGTAGCATCATCTTGCATCCTACTTCCTAATTTCGCAAGTTGGTCTGCTACTCCATTTTGTTCCTTGTACGCATGTCAAATTACTGTATCATGTAGCATCCTGAGGAGGTGCCTGCAATCAGAAATTAGATTAGTGTATTTAGAGTTATCCGTATCCAAAAGTGTAATTACCTCATGTGCATCAGTTTCCACTTCCAGTGATAGTAATTGCATGTGTATGGCTAGACTTACCCCTCGTATGAGGGCCTGCAGCTCTGCTGTGATACAATGAACATGTGGGACAGGGCCAGCAAAGCCCACCATCCAGTCGCCTAAGTGATTCCTAATCACCCCCCCGATGCCATCTGTATCAGTTTTAGGAGATGTTGCCCCATCCGTATTTAATTTGTAATAGTTTGGTTTTGGAGGTATCCATCTAAGATTGATTCGAACCCTTTTTGGTTGTGTGGGTTGCGATGCAGCCATATATGCAAACTCAATTGATTGATGTAAAACTAACTTAGGACTAGGTTTTAGTGCTTTGTGATCATAGATATTCTGATTACGAGTGATCCAGATATTCCATCGACTCAACGGCATAAATGTGCGTGTGTTCAATTTATGAGGGAGTTGGAGTCTAAGTGAATGAGATTATGTAGCCAAAGATTTGGGCAATCCATGGTTGAGAGGTTACGAATGTAACCATAGATTCCTAGAGTAAGCCAATATTGTTTAGCATTAATGCAAGTTAGGAATATGTGATTTATAGTTTCGTGTGCATCCAGACAGATAGGGCAAGTTGCAACTGATGAGATGCCAATATAATTGAGGTAGTGTCTTGTTGGAAGTTTATTGTGTTGTAATAGCCAAATGAAAGTTTTGATTTTTGGTTGGATTGGCAGAGTCCAAATCCATTTGAAAAGATTGGACGCATTTGGAAGATATGGATCATTATTAGCTAGAGCCTTATATATAGTTTGGACAGTAAACCGTCCGCTGTTTGTAAGCGCCCAATAGAGTTGGTCTGGTTGTTGTGTATAGACAGAACAATATTGTTTATTGCAATCCTTTTTAATATCCTGAGGAATATCAAACGGGAAGTTGGCCCAATTCCATCCCTGAGGTGTTAGTACCTGAGAGATCTTAAATGTTTGATGAAACTGTGGTAGGGGCCCTACAAGGAGGGATCTCAAAGGCGTCCCGGATTTGATCCATGGGTCAGTCCATAACCTAATATGTTGCCCTGTTCCAATTCGCTACTGGAGACCAAGTTGACAGTGGTTCCAACCTTTCAGAATATTGCGCCAAGTTAATGAGTGGTTAGTGACTGATGTTAGTGGAAGGTATTTATTTAAAAGAGTCTTAGCCCAAAGAGATTGAGGCGTGTGAAAAATCCGCCATGCCAGGCTTGTTAGCAAAGCGTAATTCTTAGTTCTAAGATTTTGGATATTCAATCCGCCCCTTTCTGTAGTAGTGGTAATTTGCTTCCATTTGATAAGATGTAATTTTTTCCGAGTAGTAGTGGTGCCTCAGAAAGTTTCTTTGGTAACGCTCCATTTTGTTGATGATGTTTGTTGGAATATGGATGTATTGCATGACATGGTTGGGGAGAGTATTGAGTGTAGATTTTATGAGTGTAATTCTTCCCGCCATAGTCAAGAATTTGGTTTTCCAGCTAGCTAGCCGATTTTTAAAGTTGTCTAGTAGGAATTGAAAGTCACTCATTTTGGGGCGAGAGTGAAATATGGGAAAGCCCAAATATTTTCCAAAAGAGTTCCCTTCTTTTATTGAGAAAGATTGTAGAACAAAGTTTTTATTTGCTTCAGAGCAATTTTTCGAAAAAAATATCTTTGATGTGGAAATTAATCTTTTGGCCTGATTGGTTATTAAAAAGATTAATGACATCAATGATTGCATGACAACTCTTTGTAGTGATTTTAGAAAGCAGTATGATGTCATCTGTAAAAAATAGGTGAGAAAGATCATGACCAATTTTTGAAATGCAAATAGGTTGTCATTGGAGAAGATCTATTGAAGTGTGAATAAGACGCGAGAACATTTCCATACACATTATGAAGATGTAAGGTGATAATGGGTCCCCTTGGCGAATGCCTCTAGATGGGTGAAAATATGAAGTACGGGTTCCATTAATGAGTATGGAAGTAGATGTAGTAGTAATGCAGGACATGATTAGTTGAATTATTGAAGAAGGAAGGTTAAAGTAAAGAAGAGTTTTCCTGATGAAAGACCATTCGAGACGATCAAAGGCCTTTTCAAGATCTAATTTTAAAAGCATGTTGCTGGTTTTGCCTTTCATATTTTTGATAATGAGATAGTATTTCCTGAACTATTATAGTGTTATCCGAAGCCCTCTTTCCTTGTTGGAAGCTAGTTTGTGTTGGCCCAATTATTTTTGAAATAACAGGCTTAAGTCTATTAACAATAATTTTTGTGATGAGTTTATAGATAGTGTTACACAAGCTAATAGGCCTGAATTGCTGGATGGTATGCGCATTCTTGACTTTGGGAATCAGGCAAAGATAGGTGCGATTAAGGTCCAGAGGGATGACCTTATCGAGGAATATTTGGTGACAGAAACGTCGGACCTTGGGCCCAACTTCGTGCCAGTATTTTTGGTTGAAATAACGGTGTAGGCCATCTGGGCCAGGAGCTTTATAAGGTTGAAAACCATGAAGAGCACGAGTGATTTCTAAGTCAGTAAGAGGTTCATCCAGTAAATGGAAGTTGTCATGACTGATTATGGAGGAATGAGCCCGTTGAAAAACATTGGCAGATTGTGTATGTTCCGTTGCAAATAAATTTTGATAATAATCCAAAATTTGTTTATGGATCTCAATTGGGTTAAAGCACCAGTTTTCTACTGTGTCTTTTAGAGCAGTTATCCTATTTTTCCTTCGGCGTTGAATGGTCGACATATGAAAAAATTTAGTGTTAGCGTCGCCATCATTTAGCCAAGCTACTCGAGATTTTAGTTTCCAAAAGTCTTCTTCTAAGCGAAGAATGTTATCATAGTCTTGGGTTAATTGGGACTCTAGATTTTGAAGGAAGGTACTGGTAGGATAGTGAATAGAGGATTGTATGCCTGAGAGTCTAGCCAAAAGTTTGCGCTTACGATTGAAGATATTAGCAAAAGTGTGTTTATTCCAGTGAAGAACTACCTCTTTGAATAAATTAGTGGTACTAATGAGATCCGAATTGTTTGCCCAGACCTGATGAACTAAGTGTTGAAACTCTGGGTGTGATGTCCATATCGTCTCAAAACGAAATATATTTTTTTTAAAAAGGTGCCTAGACTCCAAAGTGAGTAAAAGAGGGCAGTGATCTGAATATGTTCTAGGCAGATGTTGCACTGTTGCCTCAGGGTAGAGATTTAACCAATCATAATTTGCTAGAATACGATCTAGCCGTTCTAAAATTGTATGGCCATGACGGCGTTTATTAGTCCATGTATAACGGCTACCCCGAAAACCTAAATCCAACAAGTTGCAATAGTTAATACAGTTAGCAAAGTTATCTGCCCTATTATTATTAAAAGGGCGACCACCAAATTTTTCATGCGATCGTAGTATTTCGTTAAAATCTCCCCCTAATAACCATGGACCTTGAACATTTGTATCATGGAAATGCATTAAATTATCCCAAAGAGTATTCCGAACTTGATATGTATTACTAGCATAAATTGCAGATAATAACCATTTAGGTGTGGAGGGACATACCTGAACGAGGCAGTGGATTTCCTGTTCTAACATCCTTAGATCTTCCACATTAATTAGAGCCTCCTGCCATAGTACTACTAGACCTCCTATTAGTCCATTAGCGGACACCTACGACATGTTAGTGAAGTGGAAGTCATTGCGAAGTATTGAGTGATCCTGCATGTGGGTTTCTAGAAGTATAGCTAGTACTGACCTATGAATGTCTAGCAAGGACCGGAAGTGACGCCTAAATTCAGCATTGTGGGAACCTCTACAATTCCAGATTATAAAATTCATGTTGGAAGGAGATGTGGTAACCTGATTAGTTGGAACTGGAGTTTGTGGATTGACAGCCTGCATAGCCATCTGCTCCTGATCCAGTATTGGCGGAATCTCCCGAAGTGTTGGAATTATGACCATGGCATATTTCCCTACTTCGCGATTCGTCGTCATACAGAAATTTAGACTGCATGTGACTAACTCTGGCAGGCATTTGAGTATGAACTTTTTTTCGTACTGCTCTTTGAGGTTGTAGAGATGGATACCCTTTAACCATAGAAACTCTGTGCGTGTTTCCCTCATCTCCGTTAGGATCTCCACTAGCTCCTGATTTGTTTGTGTGTCGAGTGCGTTGGGAGATGGAGATAGAGGTAGAGTCTATGGAGGGGTGGTCTGTGGATTCAGTGGGTCGTATAGACTTGATGATGTCGAATAAGGGGAGAGTGGGTTGAATGCATTGATTGGTTGAAACCATGGGGCATAGATTTGACCCCAGTGATGGGGAGGATAGAAAGGGAGTAGGTTCATGTTGGGGTTCACATGAGGAGTTGGAGGGTGCATGGGGTAGGACCAGTGTGGTTGGTGTAAAGTGGATGCTTGGTGATCGAGTAGTAGAGGTGTCTGGGTCGTGTACCATTGGGATTGGGCATAATCTTCCATGCCGAACCTCATTCCCTCTGTTACAATCTCGGCGAGATGTGTTGGATTTTGGACTAGAAGGACCACTTCCTGGTTGTTGAGCTCTAGTGTGAAGATCAGTGCATAGCCCTGAAGGCCCATCTCCAGCCATGATTGGAGTGGCTGGTCCATTGATTGAGGTTGGGAGGTGTAAATTAGTGGTGTTGTTGGATGAGGAAATTGTGGACCTTGCATGGTCAGACGGGGTAGATGGAAGAATTGATTGTTGCGTTGAATTGATTCCCTGAAGTATGTGTTGCTGTGGATGCTTGGGAATGTTGGACGTTGCATGTTTGGGTGGGGATGGCTGGACTGTAGCATAAACTGATATAGAAGTAGACTGTGTATTATTCGGTTGAGGACTGGTAGTAGGAGGCTTAGTTAGGGGTGTTGAGATAATTGAAGGATTCGCTTTTTGTATAGTGGGAGAGGCAGATTTGGTAGTGGCATGGTCATCATGAAGATTATCACATGGTGTTGAATGATTATGTTTCATCGGAAGTGAAGAAGTATTTGATTGAATAGGTTCATAGGCTACTGTAGCATGCAAACTACTGTGATTCATGCTGAGTTGTGATGGAGAAGGTGAGTGAGCGTGGTTGGCGGTGATTTAGGTGTCATTGGGTGATAGGGCTATGTGTATGACTGTAGTAGTGTGTGAGGTGTTAGTATTACGTGGTTTAGGGGTGTGCATTGGCGCGTGTAGGCTACAGTTGGGAACTAGGTTTTGTGGAACCACAACACTTTTATCAGAGCTAGTGTAGAGAAGATTATTATTGGTGGGTTTGGTTTGTGGAATAGCCCATGTAGAGGTCCGATTTTGCATTTCTACCGTGGGGTCTGGCTTAGTAGAATTATCAGACAGTGTGATAGGCTTGGGAGATGGGCAAGTAGTTTTTGGGCTTATAGGGACTGGATCATTGGAGTCCATGTTAATATCCATATCCTATAGGGCTAGGAATTTATTAGCGAGGTTATTGTTATTAGTGGGCTTTTCCGAGTTAGTAGAGTTAGAGCAGTGTAATTGGGCCTGTACCTGCCCATTAGGTTTAGAGAACTTACCTGGCGTAGCTGGTTGCGTCTGTGCCGCCGCCTCCATTGCTAATTTTGTGTTATCTCGTGCATGATTGAATGGGCGTGAATTAGATCTTTTGGGAAAGGTTACAGTTTTCCATTCCATTTCCGGAGTTATGGAAGGAATGTTGGACAAAGATGAAGAAGGCAGTATGTTCGTAGGCATAGTAGAAGGTGTGGGTGTTGTGAGAAAGGTGCAATTCCTAGGAGCATGACCAAAACGGCCGCATTTGGTACAAAGAAGATTCAGGCCTTCATACAGTAGTGTTTGCTTGTGGTGGCCAATATGTATGTGTGTTTTGAGTGGTTTTTCTAGTGGTACCTCTATACAAATGCATGCGTACCGTCCCCTTGTAGTAGTGGTTGTACAAGTATCAACCTTTAACAGTTGTCCCAATTTAGATCCTACTCTTTGTAAGATTTCTAAATCATAGAACTCGATAGTAAGTTCAGGTAGACGCACCCATATAGCTGAGTATGTAAGTTGTGTGTTGGGGGCGATGAACTTGGGCTCCCATTTTCGTACTGAAAGAAAATGATTTAAGACAAACCAGGGGCCTCCGTGAAGGGCTTTATGCATGTTTTCTTCTTTTTGGAATTTGATTTGGAAAAATTCAGAGCCTAGATCAATTAGAGGAATCTGCTCAGTAGGCTGCCATAAGGAGATGAGCTTATTTTTTAGTAGTTGATGTCCCATTTTCTTCCCAAAGACTTTAACAATTACCGAAAATTTCCACGGAGTGTAGAGTCTTGATTTATCGCCCGTAGTTAAGGGTATGAAAATCTCTTCATCTGTATCAGGAGTAGTACTTTCGTCAGTTAGATCAAGTGCGTTTTGTAGAGGAACTTGAGTATCAGTGATGTTTGCAGCAGATGTGTTTGAAATCAGTGTTTGGAGGAAAATCTTGTGTGGGTCCAGTGGTGAAGGGTCATCAATTTGCATGGTGCCTATATCTGGTGGTTCGTTAGGATAATTTGATGTGACATTATTAGGGGTGGGGGCAGTCATTGGAGAAATTGGTGCATTAATGATTGAGTGTTAAGGTTGTTGGAATTAAAGGAATGGTATTAGTTGGAAGGTGGATGTGTAACATTTGAGCTGTGAAATATAAAGGAGAACGTTCTAGTGGATATCTTCTTTTTTTTTCTCTTGAAATTGTGGGATTTAGAAGCTATCTTTTTTGTTCCTGAGCTAGTGGAATCTCGTGTCCGCGGCAATGAATTGATCTGTCAAATTCGAAGCATCTTTCAGGTGTAAAGTTTGTTGATCTGCAGTCTGATCTGATTAACTGCTTAACTTTGAGTATCAGAGTTGTAATGGTAATATAATTGTAATTAGATATTGCATGGATAGAGATATGACATAGGCGATTAACTAAGAATGACAAGGGTGATTTAAGTAGATATGAAATAGAAGTGAAGGGGAATGGTTTGGAAGATCAAGCTTATGTTCCGAAGTAGATGAAGTAGATATGACAAAGTTGATTGACTAGTGTTCATAAGCAATGTGTTAATTAGGTATGTGAATTTTCTCTTTTATAAGGAATGTTGACTTCCCTATATTGTTGGCCATACCCATTCGCTATCCGGTATATTTGGATTGGTTCCACAAATGCTTCAATATTTGAATTTGATTCTTTAGAGCTTTTCATTAGATGGCGAACTGAAACCATCTTTAGCCGTTGTTCATATTTTCTCCTTCTTAATCTCAGAGCTATTTACTAGCTTGAAACTGCATGGTGTGAAGTGCTGTTTAGGCTTCAGAAGTTGTTGTTTTTATTTTCCGTTGTTAACCTTGTAAGCATATAATTCAGGTTCCTTGTCCTCATATATTCGACCCTGCTGAGAAATACATATCCTTGATCATACCTGCATACAATGAGGAGCACAGGCTTCCTGGAGCCCTTGATGAAACTCTGAAGTAAGTGAACCCGAGCTTCTCTTGTATCTCTTCTGTTACTTTTCTCCCCGTGATGCAGCTTTGATGCTTTTCTGCTGATAGTTACGACGAGTATAATTCTCCTGCTGTCTTCTGAGTTCTGGACTAATTTATAACTCTTGGAGGCTCAAGTTAATAAGCTGACCGTGTGGTTTATAATTTTAATTGCTCCTACCATGCATTTATCGCTCTTCTAGGTTCTGTTCTAAGAAGTCTATTGATGTATCAATTGAAGTCTAATGATATGATCAGTCTTGACGGGATGACGGGATGGTGCTGTGCTTTCTGCACACTGCATATGTTAATGCTGCAAATATTTGTGTTTATAGCTCATTGTGACCGCTGCGGCTAAGACTTTTACAGCTTTGGTCAAGCATGTGAACAAGCTACTTGGTCTTTGTTATCTTGTTGAATAGAAAGCCATCCTCTGGAGTCTGGTCTTAATTTTCTGTGGTTACTGGGGCACAAAGCTGCATTGTCAAAATCATATTTGACCATTTATTTTTGTTAGAAGCTCTGGTTATGGAATAACTGGACGTGGTCACTTCATTTGTTGATTTTTGTTTGGTGGGCGTGGATTATTTGGAGGTGGTAAAGGACAGGATTTACGTTTAAAGACTAATATATTGAACCTGTCATTTCATATACTATGTGGTTGCATGTTTCAAATGTAAAAGATTATCTATTGAAGTCCATGTATAACATCTGTCAGAAAATTAAAGGGGCTGAACAAGCAAAGTATTCTTTTGTGAATTCTGATAGTATTTTTGCACACCCATGTGTTACATTAATTGAGAACTTCACTTAAATCAAGGCATTGAGGAGCATAAAAAATTGTGTGTTTGAAATTTGCAGTTATCTTCAACAACGTGCGGCCAAGGACAACATATTTACATATGAGGTATGAGTCAAGATGTAATAAGTTTTCATTTCTTTAGTTTGATTCATCAAAAACTAATACCCCTACTACTGCTCCCGCATTTCTAAGAAAAAAAGAGAATCTCTTAAAGTCCTAAAATCTCTTGAGGAAGCTGACTAGAGAAAGATAAATGTGTCAGCTAAGAATATGCAAGAATACAGCCTGGTTCACATAGACTTTATGATTTTTATTTTTATTTTTCAAGGCTGATCTTCCACGTATAATATCTGATGATTCTGATGAATTTTGGGGTGCTGATATTTATTGTGTGAAACTATCCTGGTGGTATTGATATTTTCAATCTAGAATAGTTATGTTGCTATTACTTGGGTTTGCTACATTTTTCCAATTTTCTTATTTTCCCTGGAGTATATAAGATTCTATTGTTGCAGTTCTTTAGATTTAGATTTTCTAAACAAACTGACAGTGTGTTTCTGATGCCCTTTTTAATTTGGGTGAAGCGGCGAAAAAATACACAGCTGGAGACATAATGGTTTAAAAATGCACAGGCAGAGAACACAATGATTATAATAAATGATTTAATAATTATAAGTTTCCTGCTACTGGAAACAAATGTTTGTTCATACTGAGAAGTGATATGTGTCAGTGCTGAAACCCAGTTCTGTTGGTATCAAGCAATTCAAGTTTTATTGGTCCTATTTGCGAGTAGGAATGCTCTTAGAGACAAGACTATAAAAGTTGAAATACAGATAAATATTCCACCATAAGCGCAAGTGCGCAACATTAAATGTATAAAGACACTGCCAAATGCACAAATTTTGGAAATCAGAACATTGAAAACTTTTGGTTTTCCTTTGAGAATCCCCCACTATTTCTGTTGTTTACTTGGGGTAATGTCGTGAGATATTTACGCCATTCTACATTTTTAATGATTGATGCTTGAATAGGTAATTATTATTGATGATGGGAGTTCCGATGGAACAAAAGGAGTGGCTTTTGACTTTGTGAAGAGACACTCTGTAGACAATGTGCGAGTCATCCTTTTGGGGAAGAACCATGGAAAAGGGGAAGCTATAAGAAAAGTGAGTCTAATCTTATCAACTGATAAACTAATTCAACAAGTTCTCTGTGTTTTCTGTTTTTTATGCAATTTTACTCTGACAATTGATTAAATCATTTGCTTCTGCGAAAGCATTGTAAAAACAGGGGATGCTTCACTCACGTGGTGAACTGCTTTTAATGCTTGATGCTGATGGCGCAACCAAAGTAGATGACTTGGAAAAGCTTGAAAACCAGGTTTTTGGCCTGCCATTGCTGATTCCTTGCATCTATAAGTGCATTATTCAAAAAGAAGTTTAGTGGAAAGAGTAGCTAGATTTCTTTGTAGTGTCTAATTGTTTTCCTGCCAGATTCATGCAGTTGCTAAAAAGGGAAACCAGTATGAAGATTCTGCTGGTAAAGATTCAACTATAAGAATATCAGATGTTCCCGCAGCTGCATTTGGTTCACGTGCTCACCTCGAGGAGAAGGCTCTAGCTACAGTTTAGTTTTGACTGCTCTAATTTGTTGTGTATATTTTGAATTGTCCCTCATAGTTCTATGTATATTCGCACCTTCTCATGGTTTGAATTCTGTGCCATGTTACAGAGAAAATGGTACCGTAATTTCTTAATGAAAGGTTTTCATATTGTGGTTCTCTTGGCTGCTGGTGGTGGAGTTCGTGATACTCAGGTAATCTTGTACTCTACAGAGTAGGTCAAACCTCTCATCTAGATTGAGTTCTTGTTTAAAAGCCTCCAACTAAGATCTTTTAACATCATCTTGATTGAAAATGCTGGATTTATTGCAGTGTGGATTCAAGATGTTTACCAGAGCTGCTGCCAGAAAACTTTTTCTAAATATCCGTTTGAAAAGGTATATTTCTTCAAGTGCCTCCTCTTCCCAATCACAATGTTTAACAGGAGCTATATTTAGGCAGATTAATTCATTTGTCCTATGTCTACATAGGATTTTTTAGGAGCATTCTGAGCATTTCAGAAGCTGGTGTATAATTTGCCATGTTACTTCTTGTAGCCTTTTCCTTGGAGTCTGTAATCTTGAAGTGTAACTTTTACTGGTAGAATCAAGTTCAACCTAATCGTACATTTTATTTCAAGGCTGTTCCAATGAACTTAGACAGAAGTCTGTTTGGTCATTTATTGGCCCCTCTACAAAACCATTGAATGTGGACCCATGCATTTGATCTCCTATGCGTTTATGGGGCTTGTCCGTCTTTTTCAAAAAGTTTTTTTGTCCACAGATTTTATTTAGTCTCTCAATTTTTGGTCTTTTCTCTTAATTGATTTACCATCCTTTCTGAGAAGAATCTGGAAGGACCATATGGTAGTTAGAGTGTAGTTGTTGAGAATATGGAAAATCGCGTAAGAGGTAGATTGACTGGGAAATCCAAGTCAATTATCGTCCCTTCCCTTTGTTTCTTGAACGCCCTATGTTTAGATTAATCTCTCAAGCTCGTCAACGGAGCTTGAAACCTTGGACCTCATTCATAAAGAGAGAGCTCCACAACAACAACAACAATGACCCAGTAAAATCCCACTAGTGGGGTCTGGGGAGGGTAGTGTGTACGCAGACCTTACCCCTACCCCGAGGAGTAGAGAGGCTGTTTCCAAAAGACTCTCGGCTCAAGAAGACGGAAAGAAAAAAAAAGAAAAAAGACAATATCAGTACCACCAACAGATACCATAAGAAAAAATTAACAACATTATGAAAGCCAGAAAATAGGTGCAGAGCAAAAGCGGTAACCATTAAATAGAGTCGACTCTATGAAAAACGAAAAAGTAGTAAGACACAACATTGCCACTAGCTGTCTCAGACAAAAACCCTACCAAACTAGCGTAACAAATGTACGAACTAAGGAAAGACCCAACTACTTCCTAACCTACAACCCTAATACTCGACCTCCACAACTCCCTATCAAGGGCCATGTCCTCGAAAATCTGAAGCCTCGTCATGTCCTGCCTGATTACCTCTCCCCAATACTTCTTAGGCCGCCCTCTACCTCTTCTCGAACCTTCCAAGGCCAGCCGCTCCCACCTCCTTACCGGAGCGTTTGGGCTTCTCCTCTGAACGTGCCCGAACCATCTAAGCCCCACTTCCCGCATCTTGTTATCAATGGGAGCCACGCCCAGTGTTGTAAATAGCGAGCGCTACGTCGCTAATAGCGTGTGGCGAAGCGGCGCGAGGCAGCAGCGCTATTTTGGTCTGTTGCGGTGCGATTCTGAAAAAGCGTACGCCTCTGCCTGTGTAGCGAGAGGCGCTGCGAGGCGAGAGGCGTAGCGTAGCGACGCTATTTGGAGAAAAAGAAGAAAAAGGCAGCGACCTTGTAAAATACAAATATTAGGGCTTGGGTTTTAACTTCTTCTCCTTCAGCGAATACAACTAAGCAACTTCAAAAATTAGGCCTTGGGATTCATCTTCTCCATAATCAAACATCAGCACAGTAAACCAGGTATGTTACTTTCTTCTCCTTTCTTCTTCTTCTTCTTCTTCTTCTTCTTCGACTTCGACAGTCGACATTTGGATTCGACCATTGCTGTCATCTTCTTTTTCTTTTTCTTTTTCTTTTTCTTCTTCTTTCTTCAGTTCAGCGATCTCCTTCTTCTCCTTTCTTCTTCTTCTTCTTCTTCTTCTTCTTCTTCGACTTCGACAATCGACACTTCGATTTTTCTTTTTCTTTTTCTTCTTCTTTCTTCTTTCTTCTTTCTTCAGTTCAGCGATCAACTCCTTCTTTCTTCCTTCCTTCTTCTTCTTCTTCTTGGTGCTCTGTTTTTCGAGCAGAGGCAGAGCATAGCAGGGGCTCTTTCTTTCTTTCTTCCCTTCCTCTTTCTTCTTCTCTTATTTTTTTTTTTGGTTTGTTTTTCGACAGGAGAGGCAGTAGCAGTAGTCTCTTTTTAGGCTCTGTTTTTTTTTTGCTATGTTTTTTCAATTATAAACTTCTTATAGAGTAGAATTAATTGCATACTGACGTGATAATTTTTTTCTATAAAACAGCATTGAAATGGCGTCATCCGATAGTAATAAACGAAATGATATAGCTTGGAATTATGCTATAAAAGGCTCATCAAGATCCGCAATTAAATGTGTATTTTGTGAAAAAACATATCATGGTGGAATAACTCGTCACAAGCAACATTTGATAGGTGGATTTAAAAATGTAGTACAATGTCCTCTTTGTCCGCCCGAGGTTAGGGAGGAAGTAAAAGCATTTGTTGATAAGAAAAATGTGACAAAAACTCAAATGAATTTTGAAGCATCGGTGAATCTAATTGATGAAGATGATGAAATGGATGAAGATGATCAAATGGGACCTCCCCTCCAAAAAACTCAAAAGATATCTTCTAATAGTTCTAGTGGGTCATCCACGGCACGTACTGTGACAAAAGGTCCTCTCAATCTTTATTTCTCGGCAAAACAACAAGAAAAGGGAAAAGATGATTCTAGTTCAGGTTTAGAAGCCAAGAAGATTTTGAGGGATCGCGCCGTAAGTGCCTTTGCAGCATGGATGTACGATGCAGGGCTTCCTTTCAACTGTGTTAACTACAAAACTTTTGATAAATTCATTGAGGCCGTAGGACAATATGGCCCAGGAATGAAGCTTCCTAGCTATCATGAAGTTAGAGTAACTCATCTTAAAAAAGAGGTGAAAAAGATAGACAAAATTATTGAGGAGCATAAAGTGGAATGGAACAAGTTTGGATGTTCCATTATGATGGATAAATGGACAGTGCGGAATGGGAAAATGATCATAAATGTGTTGGTGAACTCTCCAAAAGGGAGCGTTTTTCTTGAATCTTACGATGCTAGCAACTCTTCTACGGATGGAAGCAAAATGTACAGCTTGTTTAGAAAGACTATTGATAAAATTGGAAAGGAAAATGTTGTACAGGTTGTTACCGATAATGCTAGTGAGAATGTTAGTGCGGGTAGGATGATGGAAGCTATGTATCCACACATTTATTGGACTCCATGTGCTGCCCATTGTATCAACTTGATGTTTGGTGACATATTCAAGGAAAACCCATATGCTTCAGGTAACTTTAATATAGTTATCTTTAAAGCTATAACTTTATTTATAGTTTTATATTTATGTCCTATTAAGTATTAACTATAAAATTGTTATTGTTACTTTTATAGTTTTCACTAAGGCCGTCAAGATATATTCTTACATCAGTCAGAGGCCGTTGTTGTTGAATTTGATGAGGAAATTCACAAATGAAAGAAATTTGGTGAGACCGGCCAAGACTAGATTTGCAACGGCTTTCTTAACTTTGCATAGTTTTTACTTGCAAAAGAAAAACTTGAGAAAGCTAGTTCTTTCAAATGAATGGAAAGATAATAGATATGCAAAGGAAGCTGCGGGGAAAGAAGTTGCCAAAGTTCTTATTTCTCCATCATTCTGGAATGACGTTGTTCGGGCTCTTAAAGTTGGTGGTCCTTTGATTAGGGTGCTTCGTATGGTGGATGGGGAGAGAAAACCACCAATGGGCTATCTTTATGAAGCTATGGATAGAGCCAAAGAGACTATTGAAGCGTCATTTGAGGGAGATGTTAGGAAGTATGAGAAAGTTTTTGAGATTATTGATAGCAGGTGGTCGAATCAATTCCATCGACCTTTGCATGCAGCAGGCCATCTTCTGAACCCAGGATTATTTTACAAGAACACTAGAAATGACACTTTGGATTCAGAGGTTTGGGTTGGATACCATCAATGTCTTGAGAAGTTGGTCCCTG